ACCGGGGCTCGATGCCGAAGGTCTCTACCAGGCACTGGGGGCGACCGCCAATGCCAGCGCTTCTGAACTGGAACGGGAGCTGAGCCGGAACCGCCAGCGCCACCGGCATCTGTGGGTGATCCGGACCATTGCCCTGGTGCTGATGCTTCCCTGTGCCCTCCTGTGTGAGTACGGACCAGTACAGACCAGTTCAGACCAGGAAGGTGCCCTACAGATCCACTTGGACCAGTAAAGCTGGTAGAGAACCTTACAGACCAGTATAGACCAGTTCAGACCAGTAGGGTGCCCTACAGATCCACTTGGACCAGTAATGCTGGTAGAGAACCTTACAGACCAGTACAGACCAGTTCAGACCAGTAGGGAGCCCTACAGATCCAGTTGGACCAGTAAGGCTGGTAGAGATCCCTATAGCCCAGTATGTACCAGCAGGGAACCCTACAGACCAGTAGGGACCAGCAAAGACCAGCAGGATGCCCTACAAGCCAGTGTAGACCAGTATAGAGCTTCCCCTGTCCCAGTCAGTGTGGACTGGGGGACACTGGGAGGGGACTGGGGACACACAGAGGGGATGGGAGAGACTGGGGTGGAACTGGGATCATTGGGAGGGGACTGGGGACGCTGGGATGGGGCACAGCAGGATGGGACTGGGGACATTGGGAGGGGACACCAGGAGAGGACAGGGGACACTGAGAGGGGACTGGGACACCAGGAGGGGACAGGGGATGCTGGGAGGGTCCTGGGACACCAGAAGGGGACAGAGACACCAGCACAAGGATGAGGACACTGGGAGGGGACTGGGGACACTGGGAGGGGACAGTAAGAGGGGATGGGGACACTGGGATGGGACAGGGGACACTGGGAGGGTCCTGGGACACCAGAAGGGGACAGGAACACTGGGAGGGTCCTGGGACACCAGAAGGGGACAGGGACACCAGCACAGGGCTGAGGACACCGGGAGGGGACTGGGGACATTGGGAGGGGACAAGGACACCAGGATGGGACTGGGGACATTGGCAGGGGACACCAGGAGTGGACGGGGGACACTGGGAGGGGACAGGGACACTGGCACAAGACTGAGGACACCAGGAGGGGACTGGGGACACTGGGAGGGGCCGAGGGCACCAGGTGATGTCCCCGTTTCCCCCCTCCTCCCCCCCACCCCCGATGTCCCCACAGTGTCCCTGGATGTGGTGCGGGAGGCAGTGGGGGTGACAC